TGCTCCATAGTTCGTACTTGGCGTTGAAGTCGCCAGCATCAATTGTCGGAATGTCACTACCCATCAGCAGTTCATTCATTGATTCTGGGAGTAAAAGATTTCTCGGAGGGTTGTAGACAGCCCCGATTCAGTTTGAATTTCGACCCCTACGGCCTCAGTTCCGTGAAACCGAGCACTGTCAATGCCGTATTGGACACACTGGAGGGATCGTTTGACAAAAATGTCAACTCCCCCACCAGCACGTCCAACACGTTCTCTATGGTAGAATATGTAATTTGGAAAGACAATTGATTCGTTCTTCAGATGTGTCTCTTGGATTAGAGCCACATCGATGTTATGCTCAACGAGAAAATTCTCAAAATCTAGTTTTTTAAGAAGAAAGCCGTTGATATTCCAAAACACTATCTTCAGAGATTTAGGCAATGTCGATTGTCTAGACATTGGCAGTTCCAGTCAGCACGTTTGTATTCACCGTGAACATTTTTTCGAGCACGGGGAATTTGATGAATAATTGCTTCATCTGGTCTAAAGCAGCACAGATGTCTGAAGCCCCTGAGACTGGTTGAGGGGTTGAGGGAGGTAGGCCTTGCGGTGCTGCTGGCACCCTTGGATGCAGCTTTAGCATAGCTGACCCCTTCCTGGACACGTCCAGACCCCGCAGGTCTTCCTGAAGGGACTGGCTTTTTGACGGGTTTTCCTTTAGATTTAGATTTTTGTGTCTTCGGAAACTCAGGACAGCCTCTGTAATTGGCGGTGTGGACCCCTTTGCAATTGTTGCACTTCGGGGTATCAGACCTGGGCTTTTTGCAGCCATTTCATCATTTTCATTAATTGAAGATCGGAATTCTCTTCCGAAGTTCGAGCGAACATCACAAAATGTCACTCCATCTAGTGGACGAGGTATTAACCAACTGCATATTCGTAATTTGCCCGATTCCTCTGAATAAGGAAAAAAACGAGTGGCTAATGAGCCCGAAACCGGTGTGCAAGTGTGCCCTTTGGTCGTGAAGGTCGACTTTTTTGCCAATTGCATATGCAGGACATTTTCTGTGAAGATTCCTGCACTGACGCCTGTCGGGTATAATACAACGCCCTACGTGGTATTAGCCAGGGAATAGTTGATTTCTGATAGATGTCAGTCCAATAATTTGAGACTATAATTTGAAACTGGTTTGAACGAAGCGACCTTTCAGATAATTTGATGAATAAAATGGTGCATCTGTTGCAATAAATATCATTAAATATACACTGCTACAAGTACATACTCGTATATGCCCATAGACTAATACTGAATTGCATTAAACAAATACAGTGAAAATGAATAAAAAGTTTACCTTTTAAGGGAACGCGTGCCTCAACCTACCTTAATAGTCACTTATCCTTCATAAGCACATATCCTGCACTTCAAGGCCAAAAATAAATTTTATTTTTTTATAATTATTTCATTAGAAAATTCTCAACCTGGATATATTTCACTCTTCGGATTAGTACCTATCTTGTTGACAAAGTCTTGTAAAGAAATTCAATGAATATCATAAAATATAAAAATTACAAACAAAGCAATTTCACAAATAAAACATTAAGATAGATGAATCTAGGTGAACATTGAAAAATCAAGTAGAATTCACAGGTTATCATGGTAGAATTCATGGATCAAATAGTAAGCTTTTTTGATTAAAAGATCTTTAATTGTACTTTGGAACTTTTTGTTGTCTGTGCTATTTTTTGTTGTACTTGTAGTAGTTGTTTTCTGTTAGGCGTCAGTCCATTCAACCTACTGTGTAGATATACAGAGACCAGTTTGAACGTTTAAAGTTCATTTCTTCAGATTTGTTTATTGTCAGTCTGCAAGCATAGCCCACTGACTAATGAGAAAATTTTTATGTGAATTTAGCAAAAAAGAAAAATTAATTCATGTCATCTCAATCGTTTGGGCCCTAAAAGAATCAACTGTCCATTGAAGTATATAAATAAGTTGTCTTCATTCAAAAGAACGGAAGTTGAAGAACTTTTAATGGAAAAATGTTTTACGATGTATATGATTTTATGAAAAAATTATACTCTGTGATCAACTATGTGTGATGTTGATTTTAGTGTTAGTGTATTTCAACCTTTTTTATGTAAATTTGAATTTTATTTCAATGTAGTACTTTATCTACCATGTATTGGAATTGTCAATGCCATGTCAAAAAATGGAATTAAATATTGATTGATTGATTGATTGAAAATTGTTCAATCAAACTATAGTCCGTTCATAATTTGTCGATAGCACAAAATGAGGGCCCAAGTCATAAAACGGTCGTAAAACTCGTAAAATCATAGGCGGAGGTTCCTGAGGTGTTTATTCATTAACTATAAAGCTTCAGTTTATATTCGAAACTTGCCTTGAAAGGGTGAAGTTGTTACGAACGAAAATAATTTTTAGTTTAGTACATTTTTTAATCGCATTTAATTTACGGCTCGTTGGTGTTTCGGCGTCTACGGCAGTAATTAACGTCTCTAATATTTATTTTGCGAATTTTGTGCAGTGCGTGAGTAACTTTTTTTCATATTCCTACAAACATATACGTACCTTTCGTTCCTGTTTGTTTTGTTTGATTGCTTGCGATGGCTTCGTCATCATCATCAACATCATCAAGTTTTACACCGGTACTGTTGCGTACAGTCAGTAAGTCTGTCTATTCACCAAGAGAGAAGACTATTGTTTTGAACGTTCACGATGCTCTGGTTTCTCAGAATCCCACAAACACTGTTCAGAACATAATCAAGAGTTGTGCCAACATGACGGGCGTAGGGGAGTCAACAATATATAGGTTCCTATCAGAAAGAAAAAAAAAAGGTACAGCTAACCCAAATACAAACGAATACTTAAAGAGGGGGAGAAAACCTATTGAAATTGATGAATTTGCCAAAAATGGTATTCGAAGGAAAATTCACGAATTTTTTTACAAAAAAGAAATACCCAACTTAAACAAAATTTCACAAGAAGTTAGAGACGACCCGGATTTGCCTCATGTCGGACGAACCAAATTGTGGCAAGTTTTAAAAGAATTAAATTTCCGGTGGGAGAAATCAGACCGAAAATCACTTTTGATTGACCGGGAAGAGATAATATGTTGGAGAAGAAAGTATCTAAGATCTATACGAAAATTTCGGGCTGGAGGAAGGCTAATTTACTATCAGGACGAAACGTGGGTAAACGCAGGTCAGACTCTCACAAAAATTTGGACAGATAAAAATATATCAAGCTCCAGGCAAGCCTTTATGGAAGGTTGGTCTACTGGTATTTCCCCACCCTCTGGTAAAGGCAGTAGATTAATAGTTTCTCACATTGGCAGTGAAAAAGGATTTGCTAAGCATGGTTTGTTGGAATTTGAATCCAAAAGCACAAAAGACTATCACGAGGATATGACAGCTGATGTTTTCGAAGAGTATTTTGAGCAGATGATTGAACATATACCACCAAACTCAATTATAGTATTAGATAATGCACCTTATCATTCACGACTAGTTGAAAGACTTCCAACGACTGCGTGGAAGAAACAGGATATCATTGACTGGCTGCGGAATAAGTCCCTGCCTTACGAAGATGGAATGGTTAAAGCAGAACTTTTAAAAATTGCCCGGCAACACAAATCTGAGTTCAAGAAATACGTAGTTGACAAAATGGCGGAAAGACGAAACATCACAGTCCTTAGACTTCCACCCTACCACTGCGAATCAAATCCAATTGAACTCATTTGGGCACAAATGAAAAGCTATGTGGCTAGAAAAAATACATCATATAAAATACAAGCTGTACGTGAATTGTTATATGAGTCTTTACAACATATTACAGAACAAAATTGGCGAGATGCAGTAAGACATGCAATAGAAGAAGAACAAAAAATGTGGGATCTTGACAATATAATTGATGCGACTGTTGAGACACAACCGCTAATTATTAACCTGCAAGACGACTCGGATTCCGAAGATGATCCTGTTTATTTTGAATTTGAATAGTTTTGTAAGTAATCATAGTTTATATCATTTAAAAATAGGTATTAATTGAATAAATGTATCTTTTACAAATTGCAAGTAACTTATTATTTTTGAATAAAATAAAAAAAATTTTTTAAAATAAAAATACAGTTTACAGTACCTACAGTTTAAGAATATTAATATATTTATTTATTTAAAGTAACTAATGTTTTAATCATATACTCTACGTCACTGGTCACTCATTTCCACTCAAAATACCTACATAATCGGATTAAAAGTTTTATAGCTGTATTGTATTTCTTCAGATACAAGGTGGGTTAGTCGAAAACATCTTAAACTGCCAGTTTTAGTTTGGTTTTTGTTATTATATCATATTAGCTGTCCTCTCTGTATTTCAGTTCTCTAATGAGGGTCAAACTTGCAGTGAGCTATCAACAAATTATGAACGGACTATAGGTGTTTCATTCGGGCAAACTGCCGCGCGCTTACCCCATTTCACGGTCGCCATAATCGTCCTACCGTGCAGGAGAATCCGAGGCAGTCGATTTTGCGTCACTCAATTTTGCGTCGTAACTTGGGCATGCATCCGTACAAAATTCCATCGTTCTCAAAGAAATATGGACCGATGACGCCGTCAGCCCAAAATTCACATCAAACTTTGTTAGTTCACATACCTATTCATCCAGAAATGGGCCTCATTGCTGAAGATGATTTCTTGACTGGAAATTAGGGTCAGTGGTCAACTGCTCTAGAGCCCATTCAGCGAATACACGTCGTCGTCTATGGTTGATTACCTTCAGTTCCTGAGTCAGTGGCATTTTTTACGGGTGCAGGCTCAAGGCACGACGCAAAATTTGTCAAGTTGTGATCTGCCAAAGGCCGAATTCTTGCGAGCGACGCTAAATCAACTGCCTCGAATTGTCCTGCACACTCTCACAGACAGCGGTGATGTTTTTGGTAGATCTTGCGTTTCGTGATGCTAATATGGTAAACAAGATAGAAGAAAATGTTATACTCACAATTTTTCTATAGAATCTGGAATTGACATCAAAGATTCCTGACTCAAATTCCTGAAGTTGTTACCAGTGAAGTCCCTGGAAGTAAATGAGGAGTTTAATATGAATCCAATGTGAAATGCTGATTGAGACCGAGATTTATCGGTGAATTTCAAATCGTCCACTTCAAGTTATGACCGAATCTATACATTTTTGTAATACTGAACAGAATTAGAAACTTGCAATCATTTATTACACATGAAATTATTGATGAGGAATATATGTTTCTATATAGATCTGTTATTGTATGTTACTGTTTCTCATATGATTCAAATTCGCCAACATGGAAAAAAAAATTCTACTACCGGTATAGCATTCCATATTTTTTTTAATAAACAAGGAGGAAAATACAAACAATGATAACATACCCAAAATGAATTTTTATGAATGAAACATTTACCTTTTTGATTATTGATCGATGGTGAAGCGTGTACAAAAACAGTAAAACCATTAGAAAGTGCAAATAATTTCATTTGAAATAGTTTAAGAGCAGGTTCATATTGCTCGAATCAACTATCACATTTCATTCGCTTCTGTTTCAGAAATTATTACTAGAATTTTGTTTGTTTGAAAGTGGTTGACAATGTTTCGTGGCGTATTTCATTAGTTTGGACTGCCATTGTCTAATATGATATCAATTGATTTGAAATCCCTGAAAGAATCTATAAAAATTAAAAAGGTTTGTTTGAAGGTGGTTGACAATGTTTCGTGGTGTATTTCATCAGTTAAGACTTGCATTGTCTAATATAATATAAATTGATTTGAAATCTCTAAAAAAAAATGAAGTCACAGAGCAGGGTCAACTAATCAGTTTCGACGTGGAAAGCCTCTACACCAACGTTCCTGTCGAAGAAGCATTTCAAATCATACAGAAGGAGCTATCCGAAGATGGGGACCTGAAAGATAGAACAAAATTACCGATACAAGTAATCATGAAATCACTAGGATGCTGTGTACGAAACTGCTACTTCCAATTGAAGGACGATTTTTTTACGCAAGATGAGGGACTGTCAATGGGATCGCCACTTTCACCGATTATAGCTAATATATATATGGAGTGGTTTGAAACTCTGGCCATTGAAGAAGCCCACAAGAAGCCCCAAGTCTGGTTGAGATACGTATACCACACCTTCATAATATGGAACCATGGGAATGCAGAACTAGACATTTTCCAGAAGCACATCAACAACGTGAGTCCTTCCATCGCTTTCACAATGGAGATGGAAGTCCACAACGAATTGCCTTTCTTAGACGTATTGGTGAAGAGGACCGACACTTAATGGGAAACATCTGTATATCGAAAACCCACTCACACAGAACAGTATCGGAACCAGAAATCCAACCACCTTCTTCAGATATGGGAACACCAACCGTAGCAGCCTCACAAAAACCAGGCCACCAAACACGGACTGCGATTCCAAGAATTGCATTTACCGGATACCCTGCGAGTGCGGAGAATCATACATTGGTGTAACCAAGAGGCCATTGAAAGTTGGCATTGCTGAGCACAAGAAACACACACAGCGAGAAGAAACCAGCAAATCCGGAATAGCAGAGCATGTTTGGACTCATCAACTTAATATCAAGTGGGCTCAAGCTGAAATCATCCACAAAGAGGAACACTGGTTTAGGAGAAAATTCAAGGAAGCCACGTATATGTTGTCCAACAACGCATTTAGTCAAGCTAGCAGAGATACGTAATATATGGAAACCTCTTAACAAGCGAAAAACGACCAATTCCCGCCAAACGGTCATCTCTTGCTAAAACCAATGAAGCGGAAAGAGGAAAGAGGGGATGGGTGAAAGGTGAAAGCACCCGAATGACCTATGAATAGTCAGATCTCGGAGGAATAAGTCCAGTTATCACCCAATGGATACTAACAATCGAAACGTCGTCACGTAACTTGGTTTGGAATCTTTTAATTTTTATTTTTCATTTTTGTTAATAATATTTTTTAATTTTCAGCTTTTATTATTGGATCTCCACAAACTTCAGTTTGTGGAGATCAAATCGTGGAGTGTATTTTTTGAAAAAAAAAAGTGGTTTTATTAATTTCATTGAAGTGATCATGTATTTCCACAAATTAAACAAGTCATCAATAGACATACATTTTTGTTAAATACCTTTTTTTTTTATCGATCTTTTTTGGATATTCTTACCTTCTACAATTTTAACTTTTCGGAAGCCAAATTCTACCTTCGTCTTCAGAAATGGACATAACAATAAAAGATATTTGTAGTTATTCCTTTGCTAATTATTTATTTCCCAACTTCTTCGACAGATGTCAAAGAAGTTGGGAAATAAATAATCAAGAAAGGAATAACTTAGAATTTTTTGTCCATTTCTGAAGACGGAGGCAGATTTTGGCCTCCGAAACGTTAAGATTGTGGAAGATGAAAATAGCCAAGAAAATATAAAACTGATCTTCCTTCACAAAAAATGAATTTCGTTGAATAGCCAATTCACTATAAATAGTTTTCCAGAACTGAGAGAACTGTTTAAATACTCACAAAATATTGATGTTCACATGTGGCAGGTCATCTGGAGCCTTTTCAAAGTTTTTGTAGTCACATAATAGATCCAGTTTCCTACAGATGCATTTTCCAGTATAGTGAAAGGCTGAAATGATAGTAATGAATATAAATAAACATTTATTCAATGATGAATATACTTAAGTTTTATTATCCCGGACATGCTCTGAGAGATGAGTCAAATTTAGGGTTTTTTTAGTTTGATCTTTCTCAATAATTTATGCCTTTGGTCGGAAATTTCGTTCATCAACATGGTTTTAAAAATACTAGATCAGTTGAGACTGTTATTGAAAGTAAATTGATATTAATTGTAAATAAACTTGAGTTTACTTTCAATAACATCTGTTAAAATCTGTTTCAAACAGATTTGAACAGATGTTATTGGAAGTAAACTCAAGTTCATTTACAATAAGAAAAACCCGCAACTAGTATAAAGTTAACGTTTTGCTTATTTTTTACAGATATCCCCTTCATTTTAAAAAACAAGTTCGGTTAATTATCATCAATATATCTATACATAACAAACTCATCATGGAGTTTAACTTTTTTGATACATTTGTACTTATTTTTATAGCAAATTAAAAATTTGCTATAAAAATTTTAACATGACTGGTGCAAAGTTTCAATCACTTGGCTATTTTCTTAAACAAACCTTTGATTTCGAAAAAGCAGAGGCAACTAAAAAAAATGCAAATAATTTCGATAGAACTATTATTATTATTATAAAGTATTACATATAATTTTTACGTGAGTATCATTCTAAAAGGGAAACTGAACTTTCCTTGGTAACTAAAGTGTAGTCTTTATGCCGAGAATAACGATCTCCGAAGATTTATAAAAAGGTGTTGTCACAGCCTCCTCTAAAGTCCATTTTGCGTAAATATCCGTATTTCATTGATTGCGATTTGAAGAGTTAGTGAATCCATGGTTGTGGTGTGTTATATCTATACTATGTTTATTGTAAAACTTTTTATATAATGATATTTTATTTGTCGTCTATGTTTATACATAATATGTACTATGAATTGTGTGTAATGTTTATACCTTTGTTGACTTCAGAAATTATGTCATACAGGTTGTATTATGGTTACGAAACGAGGTTTATTTAATTACCTTTTGAAATAATTGTGCTATGAGTTATTTCTATTTTGGTTTTGTATAATTGAGGATCTAGTACAGGTGAGCAGAGTCTCAGATATGATAGCAAAATCCAATATTTTATGTGTGTACCACTTGTCATGGTTTTTATTGTGTTAAAATTGTGTATTTGTTTATTAATACTGTTATGCCCGAATGTTAACGATTTATTGATATTATGTTCCCTGTTGTTCAATTTGGCATTGTAAGGTTTCAGAAAAATATAATGGCCCCTTGTAAATGATTTGTAAACCTGTCACACTGTCTCTTGTGCATGAACTGGTGGTAAAAGTAATGATTATATATTGGTATCGTTTCTGCCCTGAGTTATCAAAATCAAGTAAGACGGCGTACCTGCTACTTATAGTAAAATTTGTTGGAAGTAACGTTAGCGTACACGCTTTTTATTTTAATTGATAATTGTCCGGTATTATACGTTTAGGTAATAACATGCACCTGATGTTCTTTGTTTTTGTGTTTGCTATTGTAATATTAGTTTTTAATTCTTATTCAATAAATGTTTAAAATGTACGTTGGTTTGTCATTCAGTAGGTTTATAACAAACATCTAGTTAACCAAAGAAACTTCCTACCTGTTTGGGAACAGCCGCTCGATTCCAAACAGGAAGTTTATTATTGTGGCATACTCAAGTCGTTTTTGAATTTCCCAAAACATTTTTCTCTGGCAATACAGCTCCCTTGCCGTAGAGAGGGTGAATTCGATTGTTCTCTGAGTATGGAAGTCGGCTGGTTTGGGCCACGGTATAAAATCAGGTTGGCGACGTGGTTCATTCTCTACCTATGGTAAGTGTCCAAAACATCAAACCATAGAGGCACATCACAAAGTCATTCCATGATAAAACTCACCGTTTTCCGAAACGAAAATCTCGAAAAAACAATTTTTTTCGAGATTTTTTAACTTTGACCTCGAATACATTTTTTTCCAGGCATCGCAATCATTCGGAATTTCGAAATCTTATTTTCAACTATGTTTTGAACAATTACATGCGTTTGCAGCTTGTTGTGAATTTATGTACCTTCACTCTAATATTTTAGTCTGATTTGACCGGGCTAAGAGGAGAAATAGGTTTATTTGATTACTGACATATCAACGTCCATACATTGAAAATCCGAATCAGTTCAATAATGAAATGAAAAAACTAGATGAACTTTGCAACAACAAAGAAGAATTTCTGGAAGTGTGATTGGATTTTATATTGCTCAGACGAAAATTTTGAACACTCTGTATGATATTGAGGAACAGGTTTCATAGGAATCAATAGCCCAGAATCCCTTTCAAGCTCGGTCAGAATTCGAAGAGATAATTCTTTTACATTCCGATGTTATTTAGTTTCCAATTATACCTGGCATATTCTTAAAATAATCAATAAGTCGAGAACGGTTGTAGATAGGCACATAGTACCTTGTATGGAGGGGAGAAGGAAATATCAAGAGAAGAGAGTTGTTAGTCCACAGATAGTTCAAAAACACCTTCCGGTTCCGGTGAAGGTGTTTTCAATCGCAAACTCATGACAGAGATATAAACCTGCCTAGGAACCTATGCGACTGTATTTCAAGCGGAAATTAACGCTGTTGAATTGTGTGGGGAGAGATTGGAAGGATCCAACCTCATACACATACACAAGTTAATAAAAATATTCTCAGACAATCAAGCGGCGTTGAAAGCTCTTGGCTCCTACCGGGCAACGTCTAAATTGGTAGCAAATTGCCAAAAACGACTCTCCTCAATAGGAAGACTTAACAGATTGTATCTGGTCTGGATTCCAGGCTGCTGACTCCCTTGCAGAGAAGGGTGCTGCAAAAAGGTTCATAGGACCAGAACCTGTCAATGGCATCGCTTTAGGCTTTGCCGAACAAATATTGAACATCTGGATGGCAAGAAGATTGATTCATGGACTTCTGGCAGAATCTTGTAGGATTGGCCCACTCCAAGGCGTTTATTCACCCTTCAAAGCTTGATACCAAGTTGTTGGGCTACAATTGGGATGAACTACGATGTCTAACAGGCCTTCTTAAAGGTCACTGGCATTTGAATCATCATATGCAGAAACTCGGACTTTCGAAAGAGAGTGTGTGTCGCCTCTGTTTGTAAAATGATGAAACAGCAGAGCTCATACAGAACCCCTCTGGGGACCAAATCAGGTTTGTACACACTAAAAATAAAAATCTCAAAGTGAAGAACATTATATCGATTTAAAGAAATCTTGCTCTCCTATATTCATGAAGACTGTTCCTTTCATATAAGAATAATAACTTCATTCACAATGTATACAGATTAGAGTACAATTAGAACAAAATATATGAACATAGTGGTTTGGCGATAAGAGTAGAGCTCTTGTTTCGCAAGAAGTTATAAAGAATATGTAAGTACATAAATATTTGTACAAAAATAAGTTTGGCCTTCATGGAGTAGAGACTACAAAACATTTTATTAAATTTTGTGAATTTGCTGTTATAGTTAAGCAAATTATATTTTGGCTTGAGGTGAAATAGGCCGATTAAATACTAGTATTATGTAAGTAAGTATTAAGTAAGAAAAATAAATAAAACCTTACACAAACATTACACGTTCTATAAGAATAAAATATTATTGTACAAATAGATACAATCTTAGGCAATATGGATAAGATTATGCTACCTACAATACAGTATGATACAACTTTGGGATAAATTTGACTAACACTAACTTATTCAAATCTAACAGTTTTTTTTGTCTATTTTTTCGAGAATATGTTTTCTTATTTGTTTTTTGAATATTAGTTTGGAATAAGAATTTTTGATTTTGTGCGTTACGGTGTTATATAATTTAGTTGCCATGAAAGAATATGCTCTTTGTGAAATTGACTTTTTAACAGTAGGATAGGTTAGTTGGTCGCGATGTCGTGTGTTATAGTCGTGGTTTCGTGATGATGCTTTATTTTTGCTGAAATGATACTCCACGTTTGTACAATAGTAATATAATTGTCTCATATCCATAACTTCACCCTCTTTATACAGAAGATCTGACGAGAAACGTGAATTTCTAGACATGATCAAGTTTATGAATCTGTTTTGTAATATCTCTAACAGATTGAGGTGTACACTGTCTTTAGTTACTTGAATCAAAAGTATCTCATCTGTGATATGAACAACTACAAGTGGTAAGGGAAGAAAATACATTATATACTATGATTGGTTTATTTCAAGCATTTGCAAATCATAAATATCCTAAAAGAGCATATGATGAAAACAAATCATAATAGTTAACTCAATTTTCAGAAAACATATATTTAAAAAGAATGACATATTTATGACAAATTGTAAATTTACAAATAAAATAAAATAAAATCGAAGCATATAAACAACATTGTAACTCAGACAAGACAATGAATTAATTTATTAGTGATTTTACACAAATTAAGTTTTTGAAACTAGATGCCATTCTGGTAAATAACATTAAAAAAAATTACTATCGTCCATCGAGTTCTGCATTCTGCTTTTGTTGATCCACAATTACCAGAACATTACTTGGATTCTGAAACAAAAAAAGAAATCAGCACGTCATCCTTAGCCACTATTTCAAATATCTAGAAAGGTTGGATATTATTAGTGGCATTCATATGTAGGTGCTTTTTATACCAACTGGTGTCTATTTTGGTATTTTTTGTATTATAATTCATTGTCTAAACTTTAACTACCTCTCTCGTTCAATGAAAAATGAATTCGGTCTGAGAGAAAATCAAATATATGTTCAAAACAAGAGATTGGCGGATTTGAATCAACGTGGAGGATTTTTCAGTTCAAATTAATATACACTTGCAGAGCTCGGCAAATGTAATAATGCATGTGTGAAAAATAGTGAAGCATCGATATATTTTCGCAAAATGAGGGCAAAATTAAGAGTTGCTGTCAAAGTTTACCACTTTCTCTTCGATACTACGTATACAACGCA